TGTTAAAAACTCTTATTTGTACATGCTCTGTTCTAGCTGAATTTGTAAGGTAGAAATGGGGTCATGACCACTGAACTTTCAGCTAGCAGCCACCTAAGTTTCTTAAAATATATCTATTGTTGTTGCTCTCAGGTTACATAGAGTTCCTTTCAACACCTAGCAGCCCTTTGCACAAAGACTGCCGGTCCTGAACCATCCCCAGAAGGGTTCTGTTTGAGGTCATGGTTGCAGCCACTGTACCACGTGTGTCTTCTCATTTTGAGTCATGTCCTATCTGCAAATGAAGGTCTTGAAAGCTTTTCTTCATCCACGTCATTAAGATGGACTCTGCTTTGAAGAGGCAGCTCTTCTTCCCCACGTTTCTTTTCAGGGCTTTACAACCTACGGGGCTTTCTGCCAACCCTGTGCCTTGACACCACTCTACTGCTATTCCAAAGGTTATCAGCAGCTCATCCCTCAGAAGTGGACTGCCTCTTCCTTCTTTCCAGCCTGTTCTTAGTCTGAAGGGCCTCTTAAACCTGTTCACCATGAGTGACCTGCTGGCTGAGTTGAAAGCAGCACAGCAGCACACAGGCCACCACGGTGAGACAAAGTGACCAAAGAGTGGTGGCTAAGTAACATTAGGAACATATCTTTTCGATAATTGATTTGGCTTATGGAAAGTGAGGTGAAGTTGTTCCATTACTGGGAGGGCAGCAATTGCATGGGCTAGTATTCATCCACCCGTCATTAAACAAATCAGAATTTTAGAAGGTGGCTATGACAGGTAACTCAATATAAATCTTGTTGAATGGCTATAGGAGTTAACCAAGTATGCATTTGTAGCATGACTCTGATTGTACGGTGTGTGTTTGAGAAGTATTTTTGTTTTTAGGGAATAGTCATTTTTTTAAAAAAAGTATTACAAGGTTTTAAAGGTCCATATTGTATTAGTTTTGAAAATGAAGAGTTTGATATAGCAAATGGAAGTCTGTTTACTTACATTCAGAAACCAAACATTCCCCCACACAACTTGTGGCTTTCTTATATTCAGTGTCACAGAAACACAAATACATAATTTCCCTTCTCCTATGCATTCCATATAATTTAAGAGAGATAAAAAGTTTTTTATGTGGTACAGCCATAGAGTCAAACTCTACTGTATGTATTACAAATGAAAAATCATAAAATTGGCCTGATAGTTTTCAGAATGTATGGAGGATGGGGGGTGGCAGGGAGGCACTTCAGAAAGCTTCTGGGTGTATGGAGTTAAAAGAAAATGGAATTTGTCCATGAACTTGGAAAGCCCCTTGTCTTACTAATGGACCGGACCTTAAGCTTGTTAAATGTGCATGTACACACACACACACCTACACATACATGTGTTTTTAAGGATTAAGGATTATGTATTGAGTTCTATGCTATTTGAGTTACCTTAGAATGATTAGAAGATTATCTTCTGTTTATACTGATGAAAACTTCTGTGTAAAACTATGGTATGAAAACAATCTGGGTTTAGTCTATCCAAAATAATCCCAAGGTCACATTTAATGAAATTTAAAAGTAATATTCAGTGAAACTTAAAAGTAAAAATCATATGCCCCAATTTTAATATTACCCCATTTACTTTTTATTAAAGATCCACCTTCTCAATGACTCGTTAGCTCTGGCCTCTAGCTCAGTTTTCAGTGTTCATGGATGACATGAAGTCAGTTCAAAGAACTTACAGTGAGGGATTGGTTATAACGAGATATAGCTATACTATTCACTGTGTATACAAAATCGATACATACTGAAGCGTGTCAAGAAAATAAAGGCTGTTTTGTCGAGAAAACATATTTAACTTATCTTATCTTATGAAGATATTGTCTTCATCAAGCCACCCTCCAGCAAGTGGTCTGTGGAATAAGAAATTTACTCAAACAAACAAATCCATGTTGCGCTTGCTCTTTGCTTCCTTATCGAGTGGTCCAATTCAAGAATCACCAGGTGTGCAGACCCAGAGGAAGGGAAGTCTTAAAGAGACACGCCTGCTTGCAGGAAGAAAGTTGAGTTGCACGTGCACAATGAAATGCCCTCAATGCTGATGTTATTTTTTCCTTCCCATAGGGAACCACAGTCAGATATCTCGAGTACCTGTTGCTATTAAAGTGCTGGATGTCAATGACAACGCCCCTGAATTCGCATCCGAATATGAGGCATTTTTATGTGAAAATGGAAAACCCGGCCAAGTAAATATCTCCATGTTGTTAATGCTGAATATGTTTGTATACACCTGTCTCATATCTGATTAACCTGCATTATAATGTGCATTTGCATCATATGTGAGCTGCAAAGTCATAGGCGAGAAACGCGTCCAACTGGGAGCAGAGGAGTGGTTTCCTTCCTTAGATGTTCATTATTTTCCTATGTTTAAGCAATTTGGCTGATGAAGTGGAACAGGAACAAACTCTCTTAGATCATGTGGGTGTGTGTATGGTAGCTGGGAAGTCTTAGAGGGATGGGACAGGAACTGAGACTTTCCAATTACACAAAGTAAGGATCAAAGCTCACAAGTCAACACCTGGTATTTCTATCAGATGTATGAAGTAGCATAGACTAGTGGAAGCTGGGGAGGCAAGTGCTTTATAGGGGGTTGTAGGAAGTAAGTATTAATGTTTGTAATAGCTCAGCTATATTAGGTAAACAAGTTAGAAACCCTTCATCCCTTCATAGGTGTGCTAGTAGATAACCTAATCATTGTATATTGATGTGATGTGTATTATGTGTATCTACCCTTACAGCATAGAGAAGAGTACCATATGGAAAAAAACAAAACAAAAGAAAGAAAAGATGGATGGGGAGAGGGTGTGTGGGAGGGGAGGAAACCTGGAGGAAGGGCACAGGGAGGAATGGGGAAGAGGAGGGAGGGGAGGAGGGTGGGAACTGGTGCGGGGGGGGGCTAGTTAGGTAAGCAAGCAGGAAGGAAACCTGCTACCCTTTGCATGTCAAAATGGAAATAGCCTTTGTAAAGTTCGACAAGGACACAAATGTAATGGATTTATTTTACCAAGGTGCCGAAGTACTGTATGCTGAAGAAATTTACCATTTTTCAACTTCCTAATTTATTTCTGGATGGTGACATTTTAATTTAAATAAACAGCAGCTGACAGCATGACACTGGAGTTGTTCATCCAACTATTCTTGTGCCTCATGTGGGTGTTAGGAATTAAACTTACTGTTTGCCAAGCAGCTTACCTGACAAGAGTCAGATTGCCCCCCACCCCCGCCCCTTTGAAGAAAGGGCTCGCTCCGTAGCTCTGTGCTATTATTTAATCGTGACCAAAGATCCATGTGTTACCTCCCAGAAAACATTGGGCATTTTCCCCTTGACTTCTGTCATAGAACAGGATTACCAATGTCTCCATCTACCAAAAATCACACCCACACCCCACAAAAACAAACCGTTCATCCTTGATTTTCACTTGTAGCCATCCTTTGGGACTGAGTAGCACTGCCCCAGAGGGTTTCCAACGCTGTCAGCCTGGGGAGCAGACTGCTGCATCTTTCTCTGGCTGGGCAGCAGGTAGGTCAGTACCAAAGACCTTTGTGTCGCAGCGCAGAGGTTAACTGCTCTGCCTCCAGGACTCCTTCACAGACATATTTCACCCCAACCAAACCCACCACCACCAAGTCTTATTTAATTCACCGTGGCTCTGGAGGGTACAGGAGAACTGCCCCCTGGGGATGTCTGAGGCTTTCCGTCCATACGGGAGCAGAGAGCCTCCTCATTATCCCAGAGTGGCTGGAGGGCTCAAATTGCTGACCATGCAGTTTGCAGCCAGATCCATAACCCACTATGCCAGCAGGTTTAAAATAAAAGAGCACCACTTACTAAGTTTTAAGAGTAGCTCTGGTGGCGCAGTGGCACAGGTTCAGAAGTCCAATCCACTAAATACTGTTCACTTCGGATTATTTATTGTTAGACCCTTTTCCCAGTGTTATAACATTAGTCCAGATCTTTCTTAATCTTCTCCTGAGTAACTGCCCTCCATTAGATTATTTTTATTGTCTTTATTTCTAATCCTTTCTGTATAGATTTGATTTGCTATTCCTATGTCCGACACTGATTGTCATTTGCTTTTGTCAGTGGATTAAGCAGTCAGCATGTTTGATGGAAATATGGCAGGTCCGTTTTCAGGACAAGACCCTGGGTGCCAGATCACTGCAGGAAAAATGTAGCCGATCATAGATTGATCAGTCAGACTTTTTAGATCAAACAGAATCTTCCTCGTGCTCTGGAATTTAAAGACAACTTCATTGTTCATGCCCAATTCATCACGCAAGTGTGTAGTCAGTGACATTGATATTTTAAAAAATTTAACATCGACTTCACTTTTGATATTGACGTGCACATACTTTGGACCTCCCGGAAACTGGAGCTTTCCCCTGCAGGTTTTGTCTGTTCTTGAGGTCCTAATGATTTTTCTACAGTGCTTGGCTTTTGTTTTAAATTAAAAATGCACTGTTTTTCTTTTTCTTCAAATGCACTGTTTTATCACTTATTCTATGCAAGGTCAAAAACATTTTTTAAGTTGGAGTCTTTGGGGTATAAACTTTGCAAATCAAAATGCATGACCCAGTCTTAGAAGATATGCTTCTATAGGTATCTGTCTTATCTCTTAACAAATCTGTAGCCAGGCTGCTTGGAGCTCGGTTTTCATATGAAGGCAGCAGATTCTTGACTTGTTAGCACCCTTTTGTGACCCAGAACTGACTGACTGGATGATGCGGAATAGTCATGCAACAACTTCCGTTAACTGTTTGAAACCTTTGCCATCGTCTGAACTTTCCCGTCATTCATTGCATCATTGCTAGTTCACTTTTAATATCTAAACTTATCATTGCTATGCCTTTCCTCCAAGTGTATATTTGTACCCACTCTAACTACTACTCAGTAGTGTAAGTCCAACAAAAATACACCTTCAACCATCTGTAGTATTACTTACCCTGCAAATAGCTGACTCACGTTGGGCCTCACATGTTCATTATCAGGTGGATTACATGCTCATGAAAAATAAATGTCAAAACCTGGATTGGCAGTAAGATCATAGTTATGTGAATATATTTCACCACGTGCTGTCTGCTTTGAAAGATCCTTAGAGAATGAAATGTATGAACTTTCATATTTCTGGTTCGTCTAGCAGGTAGGGATTTAAAGCTAAACGCAAGGGGTTCAGCTTGCTGCTGGTTGCTACAGCAGGAAATAATTAGCAATAATCAAGGACAAGCCATTAATAAGTCCATTTTGTATACACCATCTGGATGGAGAGAGGCCCTGCAAAGACATTTTTAAAGCATCTCACAATAGTAAAATTCATGTCAACATGAACGTAGAGAAGCCAATTGTGTCTGAATCAGTTTCTCTAAAGGAGACCCTCAGCACAGTCAAAATCAAAGGAAAGGAAAGGAAGGGGACTGTTGTCCTCTGGTCCAGGTATTGATCTCCAGTCCATAGCACATCTGGCTCAAGTAGACACAGGTCCACTTGGAAGGCAGACCCGGACATCATATCTGATCCTCTCATTTTCTCCTAGTTCTGCAGTCAAAAAGGTGATGGTTCCTTTGAATTAATAACCCTACCACAGCAGAAAGAAATGATTCACAGATCAACATGAATCCATTTGGACCAGAAAGGGTTAACCCCTCTCCTCTTTCCCTCTTTATAATAGTGAAATTCTAATATGATATTTTCTTACATATTTTTACATTTTCTTTCAGTTTCCAAGTGGTAATATGTTTGGAGGTCAAAGGATAAAAGTTGATGTACATTTGGGGATTTTAAGTTAATGATGGCACGAGTAATCACCTAAAGAGAATTTGAACCTCAGTTTAACAGAACCTATAAAGAGGGAGCTCCTCTCTGGTGGTCAAGGCAGAGGTGGGAATGTATGCTGAGGAGTCCAGAATTAGAAAGCATATGTATGGCTGGCTACTTATCTGTCCAATGAAGTGGTAGGTTTTGATTCTTCAGTGAATATTAATTGAACACCAACTCTGTGCCAAGACTTGGCTTGACATTGGGAATGCATAGACACACAACACCCTACATAATGGTCCTTTACCCTCATAGAGTTTGCACCCTGGAAAACATGCCTTAAGAAGAATTAGAATGAACCAACTCTTAAGAAAGCATCTAAAGTCCTCCAGATATGAAGAAGGTTATGAGATGAAGAGAAATAGAGTTGTCTCCATGAAAAGGTCTCTCAATATAGGGCCAATACACCAGAGCGAGGGGACGCCTATTAAGTATGGAAAATGAGCCAATTGGGGATCAAATACATTCTGTCTAAAGCGAATGACTGGCTGGCTACAGGGTTGAAGTAACAGGTGACAGATATGGAGAAGTCAGTGTGGGCCTTCTGTATCCTTGACAACCACACTCAAACTGAACATGAAAGGAAAAACAGAACTTCCATGACCAGCTGTGGGCCAAAGGCCTTCCCTATCTGTGTGTTACATGCTACCTTCTTACCAAAGGCTTCAGGGGATTCTGTTTTGGATGTTAATCTCTTGCTTACAATATGTAAACAATTTGGGTTATTGGCTGCAAAGGCCAAACTGGAAATATGTATTGTCATTCTAGGTGGAAGTCATATTGAGTGCCATGTTTAATGTCAGAGATTATTTATTGTTTGGGAGGGAGTTAGGTGAAAGAATGTTGCTACTCTTGTTCCTTCAGGAGAGAATCTCCACAGTACTATAAATCTAACAAAGTCTAATTTCAACCACATCACCATCTTTACAAGTTGAGGGGTGCTCCTTGGAGACAATTATGCCTCAGTTAAGAAAATCTCTTTGAGTTTCCTCTTTCCATCTATTTCTCTCTTTAACCAACATTGCAGATATATAAAAATGTGCTAATAATATGAATATAAAGTTCAAAAACAAGAAAACAATAACAACCTCCTGAGTGATAGGTAGCAAGTCAATAGTTGGCTTGTACAGGATATTCACAACATTTTAGGAGCATGGTTTCAACTCATTCCATTCAGCAATGAGCAATATTTTTAAAATGAGTTTTCAAGATATTACCATGGAAACACGCATAGGCACACACACAGTGTACCACAAGACCTTTTCAGAAGACGGTTATTCATTCAGATAGGGAAGCTTATTTATTGTGCATTGATAAGGTGCTAAAGGTTGTAATACAATCTGGGAAAACAACGTGAAAAGGACAAAAAAATAT